GTGTGTGTGTGTGTGTGTGTGTGTGTGTGTGTGTCTGTGTTTTAATTGCAGCTCCACAATGGTCTCAGGTTGGTTTCGTGTGGTTATCCTGTCCTCGTCCTGGATGGGTTAGCAAGGTGATTGCTGTTTTCCCATGGCTAATGCGATTGCTCTTGTTTTCATTTGGATTGTACGGTGACATTCCACAGGTTGCACTAAAGCTGTTTGCGAAGTTGAGGTGACCTTTCCAAGGCAGGGCAGAGTACAAACTTCTGGAGTGCACGAATTATGGTCATGGAATGGATGTGACTGTTGGCATTTAAGAAGAAGGATGTTATCTGTCTGTGACAACAACCTGTCAGCATGGTAGTGAGCACTACTGGCAGCCGCCCCTTTGAAATCATTTAGGAAGGAATTCTTGCCTTATTTCTTACAGGAGTTGATCACCCTTACTTATCCGTCCACCCCACTCATGCACCCCATCATCTGCCTCTCCCGATCACCCTTATTCGGTATTTTTCAATGCCTCACCAATCATGCTTCCTCTACGGCTTAGAAGGGATGCTCCCCTCCCCCCTTCCTGCTTTCCCATCCCTATCCCTATACTCTTAAAAGTTACGAAGGGCCCACCGTAACGGGTCGGCGTGGGCCCAAGGGAAACCATGGCAGGGGCCCACCGTCAGGGGTGCCAAGGGAGGGACTGGAGACGCGGTCGGCAAAGCGGGTCGCCAGGGATGGACCTGTCGGCATAAATGGCGGGGCGGGAAGCGATGCGAGGGGTGCGGGGTGATGCACGCAGTCGTGGCCAGGGGGGCGCGAAACGACGTCAGGGGTGCAAGGTGATGCACAAAAACGGCGAAGGGAGGTGCGAAGCGACGCGAGCAGGGTCCGCGCGGAAGAATAGGTAAGACAAGCAGGGGGGGGGGCCTGCCGCGTGAAACAAAGTCGCGACTGACTTGCGAATTCCAGTCGACGCCCGAATCCGAGTTTGCGTGCAGATTGGATGTGGACAAGGGTGACGACGGTGGATGCGCGAGTGTGCAAGTGCACCTGGCGTGAGCAGGGACAAAAGCGAGCGAGAGCGAGATCGCCAACAGAGAGCGAGGGACGACGAAGCTGCACAAGGGCGAAGATGGTGGATGCTCGAGCAGAGACAAAAGCGAGCAAGAGAGAGATCACCGCCGTAGAACGTGATCGCTGGGATGGGGGTGACGAGTGTGCATGTGGAGAGGGAGAGAGCCGTGCAGCTAGGGAGACCGAGAAAGATCGCGTGGCAACGAGGGGGAGCGAGGGAGAGCGAGAGAGATCGCTGGCGGGGAGAAGGTGAGATCGCCGAGGAGGAGCGCAATCGGAGAGAGAAGAGAGATTGACGCCTACAAACAGAAAGCGGGAGGGCAGAGAGTGGGGCAGAGGGAGGAAGAAACACCAAGATTCGCGGCACACACAGAGGAGAACGAGGGAGAAGGCGAACAACAACGACGACGTGGCGTAGACGTGCACGTGATTGGCACGTACAAAGGTGTGCACGTGCGTGTGATTGGCACGTAGGGGAGAGAGGGGAACGTGGGAGAGCCAGCGCGGCCATGGCGGAAAGAGGTGTGTCTCTCTCTTTGATACTTTGAGAGAGAGAGAGAGAGAGAGAGAGAGAGAGAGAGAGAGAGAGAGAGAGAGAGAGCGGGGGGG